TATAGTGTCTAGATAGAGAGAAATAAACTCTATTCTGCTTTGGTCAGACCTCACCTGGATTACCGTACTGTGTCCAGTTCTTGGCACCACAATTCAAGAAGGATATCAACACATTGAAACCTGTCCAGAGGAAGGCAACCATATTGATAAAAAGCCTGGAAACTAAGTCCTGTAAAGAGTAGCTTAGGGAGCTGGAAATTATCTTTAGCCAGGACAAGAGAAAGTTATAAATGTTGATACGATAGCCAAGTTTACATATCTGAAAGGATGGCATACTGAAGATGGAACAAGATTGTTTTTTGCTGCTAGGACACTGAGCAATGGATTCAAGCTACAGGAACATCTAAACACTATGAAGACCTTTCTGACTGTTAAGAGGTGGAGTCTCTTTCTGTAAAGAGAGATTGGACAGCCATCTGTTGGGAGTGCTTTGGTTGTATATTCCTCCATGGAAGGGGTTTAGGCTGGATGGTCCTTGGGGTCTCTTCCAAATATAGGTTTCTGTGGTTTGGTTTAAACATAACACAATTCATTCTTTTGCTGTAAGTGGCAAAGAATCATAGAGTTGGAAGAGACCTTGTGGGCCATCCAGTCCAACCTCCTGCCAAGAAGCAGGAAATTCATTTTCAAAGCACTCCCGACAGATGGCCACTCACGGCCTTCCCATGCTACACACATCAAGGACACCACAATATACATAATCATGTTTTCCTTCTTGTTTTGCTTTAATGTATGGCAACCCTGTTTGTTATACCTGTTAGGAATTGTGGGAGTTGAAGTCCAAAACACCTGGAGCACCAAAGTTTGCCCATGCCTGCTCTATGGGCCTCCTGTCAGGTCTTGAAAACCCAACTCCATGGTAAGCACCAATCTTTCAATCTGATGTAGTAAAGAAAGGCCTACATTATTTTTAGACCCAACCAAAGCAGACCTTGTCAATCAATGTCAATTTTTTATTTCAACATCTATGCAAGTTCATTTGATCCAATGCATCTGCTCCAGGTGGGACTAACAACTGGAGTTAGAGACTTTAAAAAAGTAAATATAGCTGATCTAATCTCAATTGGTTTTATGTTTACAATGACTGTGAATCAGGGAATATACATTCCTTCCTGGGTTTGAACACTGGGCCACATATATCATGTGTGTGTAAATATGTATTTATATTGATTGGTTGGTTTGGACCCAAAAAACTTGGCTCACGTACCCTTCCTTCATTATCCAGCTTAAAAATAATTATTAGTTTGAACAACGCAAAAAAACAACAACAACAAAAAAAAACAACACAACCTTTAGACCCAGGCTGGATCAAATCCCAGATTATCTGTTTTGAAGTGGATTATATGAGTCTACACTGCCAGATAATCTAGGAAGATATTTATTTATTTATTTATTTGCTTTATTTCTATACCGCATTTTTCAGCCCAAAAAGGCGACTCAAGTACACAGATAATCCGTGGGCCTTTCCATACAGCTGAATAAAATCCCACACTATCTCTTTTGAACTGGGTTATATGGCAGTGTGGAGTCAGATAACCCAGTTCAAAGGGAAAGAAAAGGAACAAAGCACATTGGCTGTCGCCGGGTGAAGTGGCCCTCTGTCATGAGTTCTGTGTGTCAAGTTTGGTTCAATTCCATCGTTGGTGGGGTTCAGAGTGCTCTTTGATGGTAGGTGAACTACAAATCCTTACAACCACAACTCCCAAATGTCAAGGTCTATTTCCCCCAGACTCCACCAGTGTTCACATTTGGGCATATTGAGTATTTGTGCCAAGTCTGGTCCAGGTCCATCATTGTTTGAGTACACAGTGCTCTCTTAATGGAGGCGAACTACAACTCCAAAACTCAAGGTCAATGCCCACCAAACCTTTCCAGTATTTTCTGTTGGTTGTGGGAGTTCTGTGTGCCAAGTTTGGTTCAATTCCATCGTTGGTGGGGTTCAGAATGCTCTTTGATTGTAGGTGAACTATAAATCCCAGCAACTACAACTCTCAAATGTCAAGGTCTATTTTCCCCAAACTCCACCAGTGTTTACATTTGGGCTTATTGAGTATTCGTTCCCAGTTCGGTCCAGATCCATCCTTGTTTGAGTCCACAGTGCTCTCAAGGCAATAATAGATGGGGATTTGCTATACCTTCATCCCACTCTTGCAAATAAAATAAAAGAGAGCCACCTTCGAGCAAGATCCCTGAACTTTCCTGGGCGTGTGCGCGCTTGTAGTTTATATTAACTCCGACCGGGGCTGAGTTTTCCTCCTCCTCCTTCCCTTGTTTTCCTCCCCTCCTCCTCCTTCCCCAGGACACTGACCTACCCTTTAATTGTTTGGTGATAGGCATGTAAGGGGGAGGGGCGTGACTTGTTTATTGGAACAGCACAGTTTCGAAAAAGAAAAAAAAAAAAAAAGAAAAACCCAGGCGAACAGTTTCTAGTCCCCCCCCAAGGATGTATCCAAACAGGCAGCCAATCGGCGCTTACACAGCTTTTTCAGCTTGTCTTTTTTAAAGGGACAGTAACACTCTGGGTTAGGGCACATTTAAAGAGACAGAGGCTTCTAAATCTTTCAGCGGATTACAACAGGCATGGGCAAACCTGGGCTCTCCAGGTGTTTTGGACTCCAACTCCCATCATTCCTGACAGCCGCAGGCCCTTTCCTTTTCCCCCTCAGCCGCTTAAGCGGCTGAGGGGGAAAGGGAAGGGGCCTGAGGCTGTCAGGAATGATGGGAGTTGGAGTCCAAAACACCTGGAGGGCCCATGTTTGCCCAAGCCTGGTCTAAATAAAGCTAACCCCCCCCTCTTTAAAACCCTCTGCCCCAATGAAGTCACAATCAGAGGGCCAAACTAAAGAGGGGGAGCCATTCCTTTTTGAGGGGACGAACTCTGGTGTAGAC